AAATGGACCCCCGCCCCGCCCCGCCCCGTCCCATCAGCAGAGCAAACACCCCAAACCCCGCCCTCCCCCACGAAGATCAACAGTAGCTAGTTGCGCGCGCAAGCAAGGGCAACAGACAAACCGGAGCGAATCCATCCCGTGGACAGATGGATGGAGGACTACAAGCAACGACAACCGTTGGTCGCTCATAGCGAAGATTGGCGGCTAGCTACACGTACAGAGAGACACAGCATACAGGCACACGGTCGGTCGTATACAGGACCCCGTTGGTCTGGACAGCATTCCATCTATCTGGGCAGCTGGTTGCCCCTGTTGACATTGATCGGCGTCTGGTTCAGATCGCCCCCACGCATCAGACCAGAGTAGTCGTTCACCTGCACACACCCATCCCATCCAGGACAGCATACAGACACCATATCTTTCTGCTGGCTGCACATGGGTGTCTGCAGTGCGGTTAGGTGCGGTGAGCACCCACCTCTCTCGCGGCGGATTGAAAGTCCTCAGCAGCGGCCAACATCTGAGCCACTGTCCGCACCTTAAGACACGCACAGAGAGAGAAGAGGAGGCAAGTAAGTCAGCTATGCAGGCAGGTGTATAGTGTGTCCCCCTGTGCCCACAGCGCAGCCACATATATACTATACCTCTTCCCAGTGTGTAGTCTGGACGTGGTCGCTCCAAGGGTGGTCACAGTTGCACACAAACGGCGAGAAGAACCGCGTGCACCCGCACCCTGGCCTACACCGACAGACACAGACAGACACCGGCACCATACACACCATGGAGTGGATGGATTGTCTATGTGTGTCGCTCCTCCAGCCGTCCACCGGCCCACCGCACCGGCCCACTTAAGTACTTACTTGTTGCAGGCGTGTGTCACGGGGTCATGCTCAATGTGTCGGTGCTTGCAGCTACACCTGTACCCACACACACACACACACACACAGAGAGAGAGAGAGAGGCAGGCACATCCATTATATGTACGGCCATGCAGGCTCAGCTCATGTGTCTATCTCCCTCCCTCCCTACCTGAGTATCCAGGCCCCCTCGGACACAATGAAGAAGAAGTGCTTGCAGGGACATCGCGAGCACGGCAGACGGGGACCAGGCAGCGAACCGTCATGCGCACCCGATGACCTGCACACACGCGCCACACACCAGGCATCATATCACATCATTCAATCAGCTTGTGTCCTCAGTTTGTGTCCGTCCCCCACTGTGTGTGGCCCACGTGTGGTTGGGTGGCGTCTGGCAGTGGTGTTCCCGCAGCCGATGCCCACACAGACACCGCGACTCGTCGCGCACAGGGATGCAGCTACGCTGCATCATCGATCGCATCATTGTGTCATCAAGGAAGAAATGCACGCAAGCCAACAAACACATGACAGACAGAGCCGATGTCTTTTGTTTGTCTGCCTGTTGTCTGTCTGTCTGTCTGTCTGTCCGTCTGTTCGGTCTGTTGGTTCTCACCTTGCACTTGGTGCAGGTCCATTTGACCACCACTTTCATCCTCTTGGGCGCACACGGCAGGCTAGCACCTGCTGCTGCTGCTGATGCTGCTGATGCACCCGCCCCAGCACCATGCGGCCGCCCCATCCCACCTATAGCCCCACCTTTGACCCTTCCCGGCCTCCCTGATCCGTCTCTGTGAACCTCTCCCTCTCTATAAACCTCATCAACGCCAGCAGTAACAGCAGCAGCTGATGACGCAGCAACAGGTGCACCCGCACCACCACCACCAGAAGAGCTCTCCTCAGCAACAGGCGCCAGCGACCTTCTGTCCCTCATCTCGCGCTCAGGCGAGTAGGACGGAGAGTCGCCGCCCTGACTGCTGGGCGGCTCGGGCGATGACGCGCCATCGCTCTCGCGAGGGATGGACGGCCGTCTGTGTCGCCTTAAGAGCCTCAGGTGCTCCGCGGCCGTCGACCGGTCAGTCACGACGGGCGACGACACAGAGGTGGCTGCTGCTGCTGGTGGTGGTGGTGCCGGTTGCTGTGGTTGTAGCTGTGGCAGCTGTGGGTGTGGGTGTGGGTGTGGTTTTGGCGGCCCTGCTCTCTCCAAGTCCTCCATTGCAGTGGTGAGCAGCGTCGAGAGCGATGGCAGGCCCATGTCCGACTTGCTCTTGCCGTAGGAGCCTCTCGGGTCAGTGACAACGCCATTCGGAATCCTCTCGTCGCCTCCACCCCCCGCTGCAGCAGCAGCAACTGTGGAAGGCAATGGCTCGGGCATGGTGTCGAGCCGTTTCATGCTCTTCTGCGTCCGCAGGGTCTCGTAGGCGCACAGGCGCAGCGGCGAGCCCGTCACATTCTGCTTGTGCCGGAGCTTCTCCTTGAGCAAACGGAGGCTGCTCGAGGCGGGCGACTCTTGACCAGGGTGGTATTTCGGGGACGTGGGAGAGGGCGGGCCCTCCATTTTGTCGTCTTTCCATCTGTCTTTTGCGAGCTTTATCGGATCGAGGTGGGGGCCTTCAGTCTCTCTCGGGAACGCTTCTCCTTCAACTCGAGTGGAGACAGATCCTCTCACACTCATCTGAAAGCTCCCTCACGCCACATTTGCCGTAGGAACCGAGCGAAAGCACCCGACTTGCCTCCTGCTTCCCTCCCTCGTCACCAGGAGATTTCGTCGTCACTGCGCTTCCGGAGGCCACCCAAGGCCTGACGAGAGCGACCCGGGCCGGCTTTGAAGCAAATCAGACAGTGGGGCCCACCCCTTTGCCCATCGTCCGTCCACGGAGGCTTAGCCCCTCGTCCGCCTCTCTCTGATTCAATTTGCTGTCTGTTTGACAAGTCGACGGTATGAGCGGCAAGGGGCGTGTTGGCTGGTCGAAGCTGTCCAAGCAGTGCAGCCGCTACTGCAACACATGGAGAAGCGACGGGGTCAGCGAGATTTTCGGCATGAGGACGGCCTACCCACCCTACAACAACACCGAGACAGAGCAGCAGCAACAGGAGAATGAGCAAGGGCCAGCCGAGGAGGCGCCCGAGACCCCAATGGGAGCGGCCGAGGCGATGGCGGCCAATGTGATGCTGCACACGGGCAAGGGCCGGCCGGGCGTCGCCTTTACCAACTTGGACATGGAGCCCTCCTCACTGCTCGCCAAGGGCATGTGCCGAGACCCTACCGCCGTCAACCTCCGAAACCACTTCCAGCAGGTAAGGTACATGACTAGAATCAGCTGAGCTGCCTGCAGTGCTTCTGGGACCTCTCTGCTGCATGCTTTGCCTGTCTGGCTGTCTGCAGGGCGGCGGACGCAAGCTGGTCCTCGGCCCATCTGCAGCCGTCTGTGGGATGCCGGGCGCCCAGAACGGCGTGCACAACAATGCTGCCCATGCCCAGCCCAGCAGCTCGTTATACAAGCTCGTGAGCCCCTTCGCGCTTGACGACGAGCTCGACGCCGCCAAAGGCGTCCCCAAGCTTACCAAAGACGGTCACGGGCAGCAACAGGAGAACGACGAGGGCGAGCAAGGCGAGCTGCCGTCGACCAGTGTGATGGTCAAGGTCCCTGTGGGGCAGGCTGAGCACCAGAGACCTCCCACAGTCCCGGTGCTGAGGACGCCTTGGTGCACCGACGAGCAGAAGAATGCCGCCGGCACCAGGAGCCCGCCACAGGACGTGGCAGTGGACGGATGGCAGCAGCAGCAGCAGCAGCAGTACTACGGCGGGCTGCGAGTGCTGAACAGGGTGCAGGACAGTGAGCTGACCAAGTACAACATGCAGCTGCCGCTGGAGCCGCCCAAGCGACAGCTCAACCAGAAGATGAGAGCGGGAAACCTACTGGTACGCACCGCACACCCCAACACAACTCACACACCCATCCCCCTACACCTGGTGTCTCTCTGGGTGTATGTATCTGGTTTCTGTGATCACACAGGAGGATCTGAAGCCGGCGGGCACTGCGGCAGAGAAGCCCTGGGGCGGCATCCAGCGCGTCGACAAGTCGTCGCACTACCACCAGCCCAAGCCCGCCCCCACACACGCAGACATGGCCTACACGCCGTACAACCACCCCCACCATGGCCACCACCCGCCCCCCCTCCACCCTGCGTATGCGACTAAGCACTCAGCCAACGGGTGGGAGGGCGGCCCGCAGAAAAGCGACGACATGCAGATGCACGGGATGATGATTGGGGGGCCGGCGGCACACGGCACTGTTGGCAACGGAATGGGTGTGGTGCTCAACACGTCGGCGGGCTATGGCAGTGGTGGCCACCATGGGGGGTACCATTCTTCTTATCAGCATCACAGCAATGGTTGGGCAGGCAGCAATGGGATGGTGCCGGGCGGGCAGGTGGAGCCGGAGCCGCCCAAGGCCAGCAAACATCTGGCAAAGGGCCTGTGCGTCGACCCCACGGAAGTGAACCTCATGGGATACTTCGGTCGGATCAAACACACACACACACACACACAGAGAGAGAGAGAGAGAGAGAGAGACAGCTGGATGGATGGATGTGCCTGTGTGCCTGACTGTCAGGCAAGGGCAAGAAGAAGGTGGACGCGCCATGGGCCTACACCTCCCAGATCACCAACGCGGAGATATTCGGCAAGCCGCCCCCACGGCCACAGACCGCCGCAGCAGCCACTTCGGCGGTGTGCGCGCCTCCCCCGACCGCCGTGAGACCTTCGTTCTACTCGCGCGGCTCGTCAAGCATGTCGAAGGACGCTGCCATCCCCGGCCTGAGGGCGCCCAGCAAGTCATTCAACTACAAGCCGGTGAAGATCTATCCACACACAAACGGCAGAAAGTGAGAGACAGACAGACAGAGGCAGCCGGCCGGCCGCGAAAACCACCCGGACGGACACGGATGTCTGTCTGTTCTCACTGTGTCTGTGGCCTCCACGTCATGTGTGTCGGTTCGTTTGGCTGTTACTTCGTGAGTACGTTGCTCGCAAGCACTGCCTGTCTGTCTGTCTGTCTGGGTATCTGGCTGTTTGTTTGAGTGAGGAATCTGACTGACTGACTGACCGGATGGGTGGAGTGGATGCATCCATCCACACGGGTGGCGTGGGGTGGGCCGGCCAAGCTAGGAGGGAAAGCTGGTGGATGGATGGATGGATGGAACGGACATGCTTTCCGCTTGAACAACGCAAACTGGGAGTTCAATTCAGTGCAATGCAATGCCACTCGTTGACATCAATAGTCTGTCTCTTGCCTGTCGATGGGTTCATGTGTCGGTGTCGTCGTACTTGGCGACAGAGGCAGCGGCATGCGAAATCAACACACCGCTGCCTATGTCACCCACTACGACGAAACAACACAAGCCTACCTACATCCGACAGACCGATCAACACACGCGAAAAAGTCCGCACAAGACCGCTGTACAGTACACCGGCACACCACCCACTGGCAGCCAAC